GATGCAGATATGTATTGTACAAACATTGTATGATTGCAGTTTGAGTTATACGTGCATGTGGCTCAATTTTCGAATATTGATAAATGGTTTTTGAATTTTTGTGACACCACTCTGTTCTAACTACACGTCCGAGTCTCACAAGGCTATACCGTACAAGGTCTGAAAAACTCTATACCTAATCTGCGTCGATCACCCTTTTTAGAGCGACTGTCTGGTTTAAGTCATGTTTTTAGTCTGTTTGCTTGCTTCGAATTGTTACTGTAGCCGCTCTCATTGTCGTACATGGTCCATAATTTGCCTCAGTTATAAGAAAGAGAAATTCCATTGAACAATGAGCAGCGAAGGTAACGAACGCGCCCTCTAATCTATGAATCCCAGTTCCTGCTTTTTGCATTGACTCACATGATTCTTGGTAGGATCTCGTGAGAGTTCAAAGCCTGACAGTGGTCTTGTAGATCTACGGCAATGTGATTGTCGCTCTCATCCCTAGGATGAGACAGCGCAATTTTTAGCTCTAACAAGGTAAGTGTCAACTTAGCTGCGGAAAGCATCTGGGTCGGGAGTTTTTCATTGATTAGACTGTTGACTAAGTTTAGAGATTAGCGCGCTGAAATTTTGATATTGTCTAGACTACCATGAGCTATAAACTGGCACAAACCGCTCGCTTTCTGATGAATAGAAAAAAACCCAGAGTTTTTTAAAAACTGCTGAAATTCGAGCATCCATGGAGCTTTTTAAGTGAAAATGAAGCCGTTCTTAATCTAGATTATGCAAAACAATCCGAAAGTGTGCATAAATTGTTGCTAGAGATTGACTCATTTAGCGCAGTGAGGAAGAAATGGAGTTCGAAGACAACTAAAAATTGACGCCCTCACAAATTAAACAAGCCGCTGTACGCAAAGCTGCTTGTGGACAAGCGTCGATCACTGAAGACTCGAAGTTTCAAAATTTGCCAAAACCTTTGGGGTCATTTGCGCTGCCGAATGCGAATATCATATTCATTCATCAAAATAACGCCTACTGTAAGCTTACAAAAAAGCCCCTACCATGCGAAACCAATATCGTTTTCGTGATCAGCATGTCAGATAAACCTGTCTACGCAAAATCTTAGCAAAATTTGTGATATTCTATGATCTTTCCCCTTATACCATATACCCACCGTAACCCTCACTGCGACGTCAGCTTGCAGAACTATGGCTGCGCTTTAGCTTACGTCACGACTTACATGATGGGAAAGTTCAAGGGCATCGTATGCAAGGAGAGAAGTTGGGAAAGTAGTCGCAAGACTTAGTTAACAACCTAATAAATTACGAGGAATTTACAATGCTGGGAGTAGCCACTATCAAGCCTATGTATTTTAGGCATAAACATATATAGAACAGTTTATCAATGCATAATGTAAGTCTGTTCCTTCTTCACTGTTATGCTGTAGTGTTTGAGGCATTTAAATAATTTTAATGATAACAGGGTACTTTTAACAACATGAAATTTGGCGTTAAGTTCCCATAATTCCCGTCCCAAACTTGTTCTGCAGCTAAAGAGCGTTGTGGATTTTTGTTTCAAGCTGCTTCAAATGATACCTGTCTCATGTCAGAAGGCCACTGCGACCTCCTGCAATTCCTTGTAAGTTCTCTAGACCTGGAATTTTCAGACCGTTCTGGTCCCACTTCAAAGATTTAGCCTTGTCAAATACAGGGCATTCGAAAAATCGTGACGATGACGCGACCGCACGCGAGACGCACACACTTCCAACAACAGCATTTTCTGTACTTTAACTCTACTCGAATGCTTTTTTCCGCTTACATATGGTTACATTTTTTATAAATAACCTATACACTGGAACTGACTGAGCTGAGCGTTGAGGTGATGCCTTTTTGTATAAGCATTTTAGGCTTCCGGGAGCAAAGACCGTAGTCAGACCCGTCGTCAAGATTTTATAAATAAGCTATATATTGCGCACGATAGTTGCTGCTTTAACCTTTATACTCACTGCTCGGACGCTGCAAAATGTTGAGTATTTTCATCACCACTACTCAATATTGACTTTGCTTTATGTTGTATTTGTGACCTCGTGTTTGCCTCACAATCAGCAAGTATAATTTCGAGAGAGTTCATCTTTTCTAAGCTTCTTCAAAATGTGTACTCCCCTCACTAGGATGGCCACACGGATAACGTGAGTCTAGAGTCATGCTTTAAAGAGCACGAAAACAGCTGAGAAAAGCGTTTTTTGCCGGTTGAGGGAATACTGGAAGAGTTACTTTGTAAATAGTTTTGCCAGAAGCAGTGACCTCCGCGAATATCAAAACCGGGGGATATGATCAAAGACGGAAGAAATCTTCTCTCCTTCTCTCACAGCAACCTCTCCGCATTCATAGCTTGCATTTACGTTTGAGATCCCCGAAAAGGGAACTTTCTGCTGCCCAAAACGATTTTCTCGAGCTAAACTTCATGTTTTGCTCCCATACCTGGGCACTTTTTCTTAGCAAGAACCTGGCATCGTGATGTATTGAATATAAATGCTTTGATCTTACAAAGATGTTAAGCGGAGGGTAGAAGTAGGCGAGAGTACGGTGATCAAACCCTGATGAGATTTTTCTGGTAGTATTCTTTGATTCGACAGAACAAACTGTGCAAAAAGCTAGATTGCTAACAAGGGAACGATACTCAATGTCCGTGGCCTTTTGAGACGAGATGTATACCATTTCACTCGTCTTCGAACGCTGATTCCGAATCTGACTTCCGTTTCTGCTAATCGTTTTTCTGAAAGAAGTTATGGAGAAATTTCGAGCCAACTTTGGCCGTTCAATTCTATGGTCACCGGAACGGCCTCTACCGGATCCACGTTATTGTCTAGCGGTTAGTCTGCTAGCCTCATGACTTGATGCAAGTGTAGGTTTAAATCTTTTTGTGTTTTCATTTTGCACTGCCAATTAAACTTTTTCGAGATTTACTCGAATTATGATCATTGGATACATTTTAGAGCTGATAGTTATTATCTTTTTGATTCCACATTTTTTGAAGATTAAGGGCGTTCGGTTAGCTCGAAGATGCAAGGTTTATTGAGGCAATGCAAAACTGAAAAATACGAATGGTCTCGAACCCACATTGCATCAACCCATGAGCCCATCGCACTAACCACTAGACCACACCGCACCGTCACTGTTGGCGCCCTGAGCATATTTCAGTGGGCAGCCAAAGCCCGCACAATCCTTTACAACATCTTTGAAGCGATTAGCAGAAGCGGAAGTCAGATTCGGGATCAGCGTTCCAAGACGAGTGTAATGATATACAACTCATCTCAAAAGGCCCGGACACCGAGTGTCGTTTCCTTGTAAGAACAAGTAAGAACCAGCACTCTTTGTAAAGCTGCCTGCAATACTCTGCTTCTCTATGGAACGCTTTCTTTCTTCAGGTATCTTCTGGATATCCAACGAAGATTTCGGTAAACGCCCCAGTTTCACTTACTTGATCCATCCACTGGTAAGAATGTTCAGTTTGAATGCTTTCAAGCTTCTTTTTCGACAATATTTGTAGAACAAAAATGTTTACATATGATACCACCCCTGAAATCGGTGGCCTCACAAGGTAGATCCGAAGTAAGCGTAAATGTCAAAAATATTATTTAGGTCATTAACAAACACTGCGGTTATTTCGTCCGCTTCATAAAGATAGGATACCAACTTGCAGCAAATCGAAAATGTTTTATATCACCGGACGTAGTTTCGAACGCTAATTCCAAAATTCCTCTCCTTTTTTACGAAACTCCTCCCTAGAAGAAGTCCTGACAGCTGAACGTCCTAATTTTTTCAAACCTCGAGTGGCACAAAATCAGCCAAAAATTGTATAAAAACAAGTGTACGAATTTCCAGCAGCGATAATATCTTGTAATCAAAATACTCGATGCAAAATTGATTACTCATTTTGAGCAACTTTTCTCTAATTTTCTGCCACTTGTAGCACAAATTCGCACTTTTGAGCGATCATAACTCTTCCAAAGAGTTCCGCAGAAAAGGAAACCATGCATCTAGTAACAGAAGTCAGAACATATAAAACTAAATTCACTGTTGCGACAATTTGTGTTTGTTTACATTAATTGAGCGCTTGGTTGGCCCGAAAGTTCTTTCGCACCAAATTTAAAAATTCATAACTCCTGATTTTTTCAACCGATTGGACTGCTTTTATTTTTGTATTGAAGAGTAAGTCATGCTCTTTATAACGACATCTCAGATGCTTACTAATGATCATCTGTTGCATAAATAGGAGCGATAGAAGAAAATTGGTCAAAATTCGAATTTTTCGTGTACGGTCATAAAAAATCGAACTTGCAACAAAAATCGGAGCAGTCAGTATTGTAGGTTCTTTCACCAGCTCTTTCTAACGGCGCAAAGTTTGCGCCGATGGAGCGTCTCTATGAAAAGTTATGATTTTCCTGAAAAATGCCAAAATAAACCAAAATCGCCCTTTTGTATTGCTTGCTCGAAAATCGTGACTTTTCATAGAGACGCTCAATTGGCGCAAACTTTGCACAGTTAGAAAGAGCAGGTAACAGAACTTATAACACTGACTGCTCCGATTTTTGTTGCAAGTTTCCGATTTTTTATGACCGTACACCAAAAATTCAAATTTTGACCAATTTTCTTCTATCGCTCCTATCTATGCAAGAGATGATCATTAGTAAGCATATGAGATGTCATTATAAAGAGCATGACTTACTCTTCAAAACAAAAATAAAAGCAATCCAATCGGTTGGAAAAATCGGAAGTTATGAATTTTTAAATTTGGTGCGAAAAAACTTTCGGGCCAACCTAATAGTTGTTTGCCAATCCAGGTTTTGCATAGTTTTTGTATAAATACCAGATAGGTTTTCATAGAGTTTAACTGTTCTTCTCACCATATTATTTGTCGCTACCGTCCCGGTCAAAGTTAGACTCTTTTGGTAGTTTTTCCTGGATGTTCTGTGCAACTGATTTTAGAGGAGACAGTTTTCTTTTCTGATGTCTGCACTCAACAGATCAAGTAAAAAAGTTCATAAAAAATAGAGACAACACAGTAACCGACTAAGAAGTATTTGCACAAATCTCATCCTCACACCATGACGTTTTCGATCTACGAAAAGAAACTACAGACAACAGATGAACTCGTAAAATGACGCAAAACATTGTGACAAGATGACCGAAACGTTGTGAATTCTCTTAAAAACCTACGAACATAACAAATCGACCACACTAAATCATAACTGAATATCAAATTCCTGTTGCGGTGCGTTTGAACAAAGTGAAGAATGGGTGCTCTGATGTGGCCGCAATTACGGTCGACACACACGCGTGCGCTCGAGCGCATGAACAACCGGTAGATCAAATGTGCAGATGTAGAGATAAACAGCGATGAGCTTGGGCAGAGAATAGGGGCGCACATAATGAGATGTGACTAGCCCCACCTTGCTGAACTGATCTTCGAATAAATACAAACAATCACATATGCACCACCATATGAAATGAGTAGATATTGATTGACGAGAGGACAAATGGAATGGTTCTGAGTGTTGGTCTGAATCGTATTTGGCATTGCTTGAGTACGTGTGTGAATCCCTAGGAATACATGCGTGTGTGCAGAAAAATCGATAATTTACAGTTCTAGGCGGGAAATATACAGTATCCGACTGGAGGGCCGAAAAAATCGATAATCGATCGTTTACGCAACTAGTCGGAAGATCGAGCAGTTCGCCTCTGGCAAGTCATTCACTTCAAAGACGAAACCGATCACCATCAGCGTCTCACCAGTATCTTGGTTCGTTACCACCTGCAAGGCGAGATTTTTTGAGCCCTACATAAAAAATTTGAAAAATTCTTTCCCACCTGCAGAACAGTGAAGTTCTCTAGCACATTATTCATGTAATCTCTTGATTCCAGTTTTTTCAATTCTGAGATGAACTTCACCATGTACTCACAAATGGGAGATTTCTCTAGTCGGAAGGAGTAATGCCCGCTTTCTTCATCCGGTGAGTAAACCTTAAAAATTACTTTCGATTTTCGAACGATGGATATAATGTTCTTTCAGTGACAAACCTCTACTTTCTCGACGACCTGATTGCCAAATGAACACACTTTTGTAGAGACACTGATGTCAAATTTTTGTTGGGAGGTGTAGTATGAATCCACCGCATATAGACTGTTCCTGAAATTAACTTCATTTGAAAAGAGCGGAGGTGAGAGGCGAATAAGAACTTACTCTGTATCCGAAGAATCGAAGGATACGTTAGCCCAACATTTGGCCAAGAAGAATGCGTCGGACGGACCCCGTTCAAACAGTTCGGTCAGCAGCTTCGGGTATTTTTCAACGACTGTGTCAAGCTTGAGGGTCTAAATAATTAGATTTCGCTTACTCACTGGGTTTACTGAAAGCTTGAACAATTCTATATATTCGTAAACCTGTGTATGTGGTGAATCAAGATTCAAAAAGCTACCTATGAATCGGTAATGAATTCCCAAGTTCAGAACGTTTTTTCGGACGCAACTACCTTGCTCCTTCAAAAGAGATGCTTCTTGCGCGTACGTGATGGCGGGTAATATAGTAGAACTAGAAAAATGCTGTAGGAAAGGGCAAGAGCAATTCCACTTAAGTTCCCTAGTTCCGGGTAACCGGGTAGATGCAAGAGAAACTCAAGTGGTTAACCCAAGTGAGGGTAGCTCCAGTGCATGTTTAGAGGAACTGCACTTTGGCATAGTCACTTTTACAGTTGTCTTTTTGATCATCCTATGCAATAAAATTTAGAATTTATCGAGTTAGAAATTACGCCCACAACCACTAAATTTCGTTCTATAACTGATTGTGCCCTGTCCACCAACCGCCACCAGTCAGTAGTTTCGGCGCCATTTATTATGCATATAAGTTGCACCCTTCCAAGAACATGACCACCATTCAATCGTGCTGACGGGAAAAATCATTTTTTCTAATTTTTTTTGGAAAATTCTGGAGGGTATTTTCTGTCAGGAGAACTTACTTACTTCGAAAACAAAATTACCCACCTCGGTTTCGACGACGTCTCGTGGTATGCTGACTATATCTACACGGGATCCATGAGGCGATTCCAAGTATCTGAAATGTGTTGTAATAAGATTGTAAGCATTCAAATGAAATAAAGCTGTAAAATGAGGTCGTTTTTAGGTCCAAGAATCGATCAGCCTTATCTCAGAAAAATTCCGGGTAAAGTATCAAACAAAAGCATCAACACGGCCGAGAAATGCAGGATTTTGCTGGCAGAGATGTCAAAGTAATTAATTTATTTATTCAAAACTTACGCTTGGAATCCAGTCAACCGCAACTTGGAGGAAGCGATGCCGTCCGTCTTTTTCAATGTGGCGGGTGGCACTACGGCCGCAGCAGCAAACGGCAATGTGAAGTCTGGTGCCATGCTGGAACTCAATAGAACTAGTTTGCCTCATTGTCATCGCCATTCGCAAAAGATTCTCTCCTCTAGTGTGGTAGTAGGGTTGCGCGCTTGGAAGAAAAACATTTATTCACGCATAGGGAGAAATTTTCTGGAACCTAATGTTGACCTACGATCAATATTACTTCTGTATTTACCGTAAATAGACTGTAACCAAACCTAGCGCAATGCATATTTCCTCAATAAAAAAAACTTGTGTACCAAGGCTGGAGTTTCAAGTGCGCCGAGACCTTGAGAGAACTGTCGAGAAACAGAAATACTTGAGATAGTTGAGGCAATCAAAAATCGAAACTATGAGGGAAATTTCGGCTGTTTCTGGGGAAAAACTCACGCAAATGGCTTCACATCCGGCGGAAAATGGGCAGATGGGAAAGGTTGAGACCATAACGTCTGATACATCGTGGCGGGAAGCAATGACGCTTTGCCTAAAACATAATAACCATTATAGTATGGACCTTTTCCAGATGAAATATGCCATTCTATTCCCTACCCAACAGTTGTTGAGCTAGATGTTCTTTCGCATCGGTGAGATGTGGTGCCTGGGGCAGGTTTGGCAGCTGAAAAAGAAGTTTGATGTGATGACAGTGCAGTGTTTTGGTGTAATGTTGTATAGCATATGTCTCTCTGACAATAAGAGAAGATTTGTTTCTGTGAAAAGCCCCGATTATTTCGACGTCATTCCAACGTTGTGTATTCATCATATGACTTGGCAATCAGGAATTCAAAATATTCAGCACATTGCTGAATAAAATTTGTGGGGCTAAATATAACTTGATGCAAACGATCGCTTTTGCACCATGTTTTCATTGGGAACGCATAAAGAATCTAATTTAACGAATCGATTATTTGTTTAGAAATACGTGACCGTTCGTTATATCAAATGTTCAAAGGTTTTGCGATATACCGAAACACACTATAAGCAAAAGTTACTATTAATCTGGTGTGAAAAATTCGTCTCGAAAACGAACAAAAAGTGATCGCTTTCTTTCTCCTTTTATTGAAAACTGTTTTTAGTAAATAAATACGAGCAGAGTTTTCAAACACCTAAGAGATCTTCTTTAACTTCGAATGAAACAAGATATACATCCTTACTCAATATAAGCAAATTTTTGTGACTAACTTCTCAACCTCCTCTTCTTACTGAGGAGTTCAGTGACGCCAGTATAAATCTCAGTGTCGTGTAAATGTATGAACGAGCTTAGCAATTTTTTTTATTAGTTTGGCTTCATGCATCCTTGCAACACGAACCATTTAAGGGAATATGTTTAGAAATTAAATTATAGTTCTCACTGTGCTGTTAAAATATTCATAATTATCATAGAAAATGCACAAAATGCCTTTGCAAATGGCTTTGGAACAAAATTACTGGTAATAACGCAATATGTTTGAGAGTAAAAATTATTCAATTTTATGTACTCTAAAAACTGAAAGAGAATCATTTTTGACAAAATAAGTCCGTCTTCAGCTGAGTCTCCCCTACAAATAGGTTCTTTTTCCTTTATGGCTGCCATGAAAAATTGTCAGATAAGTCTTAAGCGGTCCTATCTGTATCGCTTCACGGTAGTATAATTTTGGCCATTTCTTCAGGAGATTTAGTCATTCTAATACTCATTTTTGCAACCTACCGTAGGGAATTGTGCCGTTTGTGGAACCCTTGGTGGAGCTGCAGCAGCTGGTGCAGGTGATTGTGTAGGACATTCAGCCTGGAATACATCAAAATTGATACTTTCCAAACAAGAAACAGTTCTTTTTCTTCCCTCTGCTACAACTGTCCAAAAAATCCCGCTTTCAGAAAAACTCTACCTTTTTCTTCGCTTGCTCATCCCGCAGTTTTTTTCGTGCCAACACTTGAATATGCGATGAGACTTGCTTTCGTGTCCTCGTCTTTCCACATCGTAGTTTGATATATCGAGCGATAAGTTCATTCCGGCCTAGAGAAAATTCATAAAATCATGAGTCATCGCTGGTTGTTCGTAAACCGCTAGAAAGTCTAGTTTAGAGCAGCATTTGCAAGAATAATGGTGAGGATAGAAGTAGGGATGAAGGAATGGCCAAAAAAGCTTGGAAGGGAAAATGATGTTTTTTTGGGGAAACAGAAAACTGAGAGACAGCCGTTTCGCACTACAGTGAACAAAAACCATCTTGCGTAACTCGTATTAACACGTTGCACACACGACAAAGCTTCCCTTAGCCATCTGCCTAGGCAAAAGCCGCTGCCAGGTATGTCGCGCGCCCCAGCGGTCCTGTATGGAAATGACCTAGTAAGATTACGGTAGCAAATCGTTCCACATCCCAATAAGACTAGACACTCATAAGCCAAATGTCAGAATCTTCTGTAACAACGTTTACAACATTTGATAGGTATTACGGCAAGGCTCATAAAAAAATTCTGTTATGGAAAAAATAAAAAAAATGAATGTATCCTGCAAACTAATAATCTCGATTTGCACCGATAGGTTTTTTCTAAAAAAAATTTCAATTCACTAGGGACCCGTTTTTTGCATAATTCACTCATCGGAATTGTTGGAAATTGTTTCATTGCATTTTTCGCTATCAAAGCAATTTTTGTTTATAAATGGACTTGCGAGCTTGCATTACTGTCATAGTTCATTAACTTATCAACGGCACTTGCATTTTTTAGTTCCAACTGCTAAGGGCCCTCGCCCCCGTAAGTCCCATAATTTTCATCGGTTAATTCGCCAGATGACACAGTATATGACCGTAAGCTGAGCGCGGATGATCCGTCGAAGTCAATGCGAGTTCGCTCGAAAATCCGCTCAGGGATCAACGTGCCCATCTGTTGGTTATCGTCAAATCCATCATCATGCAATTACCGTGAGGCGTTCGCTGTCAATTACCACCGCAGTTGACCTCATCGCAAACTCTGTTCAGCATGAATAGTTGACACGAGCGCGAACGCCACTGACAGACAATCACGATTCGATCGTTCGGTGATCGATCTGTTCCTCGATAGTGGGTACAAGATGGTCAGGATTTGAATAGAGTACTTAGATGGCAGTTGAGATGGAGCAAAAGGCAAGACGCTTTCCACAATTATTGGTTGATGCATAGCATTTTTTCGCGCTTTTTTTAAGATGGCGGTATGTTTTTGATATTTCATTTGGACAGAATCTTTCAGACTAAGGATTTCTGCATTTGATGCTTTTTGCAAACTTAACTGTAGAAAACTTATTATAAATACGTGAGTACTCCAATTTTGTAGCAAAAAACGACTGGATTGGTTTTGATGGAGAACTTCAGCCAACTCAACTTGACGGATATTTCCATTCAAAAATTTTCTCTTCCAGAAATTAAATTTAAGTCAGATCAACAGAAATTAAATAATTCTGTTTTACATGCTGGATGTAGAGTTGACTATACGTAAATAGATTTTATAGCAGAAAAATGACTGAACTGGCTTGGATTAAAAGCTTTAGCGAACAAACTCGATGGCTTTTCATCAATATCAGCTCGCCTTGACTATGCTTTTTCCTGGAACTTCATTCAAAGCAGCACTAAAAGTGTACATATTCATAAATAGAAAATTTTATACGCGTTGCTACAGTATCCATAACTTCGAGTACCTAATCCCCCTCCATACAGTACAGTTTCCTTGAAATTGAGTTATTCTACAGACTTTTTCCTCTTGAACTTGTTCATTTCTGTCAATTTTCTCACTGGAACATAGGCCTTAATTGCCACAAATGATTACCTGTTATCAAAATTGTTATTGGCTAGAATCAAAATTTGAAAAGGAACAAAGTCAAGCGAGAAAAACTATGAGATGATATGATGTATTTTCTTAATAGACTTGAAGATAAGGTACTATATGAAATTGTTTGATTGGCGATGACGCTCAAATATCACCAGTTCGGATTAATTTCTCATTTCAAAGCGACAGCGACCAAGCAATCATCTATCCCATAAAAAGTTTGGCTATCATTCATTCTAGTTATTATAACATTTTTAGCATTGCACTTACAGTAATTTTGATCAAAAGAAAGGCAGGCTAAAAATAGCCTTAGAAAAGCCGGTTAGCGAAAAAAGCACGAGTTCGATAAGACCTTTTAGGTACACAATTGAGCAAAACCTTTGAAGGATTTGCACAATTCGTCACTGGTCCAAAAAATTCTATTTTTTTCTAGAAATTCTTTTAGACCCTATGTTTACCGTAAGCTTAGAAACCTTAGACCCTATGTATATCGCAAGCTGCATCTACCCGGCTTGTTCTTCCTAAGTCCGAATTTTCGTCAACAGATGGCACCGAGCACAAGTAGCACGGCAACAGAGCCCTACAACATGGTATCCGTTGTCCCTTGACGTCTGCTAGTTGCGCGCTGAGCTTTTGTCATCTCCAAGTGTGTCATTATGTTTGTAGTTGTACGTGGTGAGCCGTCGGGGCCTAATCCTACCACGAGCACATCTGCGTAGGGCCGTTGCAACGCGCAAGATGCCGCAAGTAAACAGTGCAAGTACGATCTGCACCGTACATAGAGGAACAGCACTTTCATGGAATTGTGCATGGAAGGCCTACGATTTGATAAAATCTTAAATTCTCCGCTTTGCCCAATTTAGAATTGTATGCGCATTAAAAATTTCTTCATGCAAAATTTGCGGCCATATCCGCCTATAAACCAGAAAGTAAACAAACCAAACTAGCATTCTTCAGACTTTGGGATGATTGTGCACAATGGATAACTAGGTTTGCTTCAACCCAGGTCCCCTCACCCCTCCCGCTGGAGAAAGGACAAAATTTCTGAACATAGCTCTTATGGATTTCTGGTGCAAGTGATTTGTTGTTGCTCCTAAATAGTCAAATTTTGTAACACCTTCAAAAAATATGAATAAGCTTTTTGACAATTTTTCGCTAGCATGGCTTCTACCACGTCCTCCATATTTTCAAGTTATAGATCCACAAAATATGTATTTGAAAAGATCACAGAATTTTCTTCTAATATCATGTTGTTCCAAAAAAAACTTCTTTCGTGCTCCCCCAAACTTTAACCCGAAAAAAATTTCTCGGACCGTCTCTAATAACCTAGTTTAAGACTACCCATGTTGAAAGACCTAAAATTCCACTACGACTGAAGAATCAGCTTATAGATTTACTTATCGTGACCTAACCGTAAAACCTAACCTCAGCAAACAAAAGCAGAAGAAGATTGATGAGGGTAAAAAATAGAATTGTTAAATGCAAAAAGTTGTACGCGAGAAAAATCCCAGTACTTCTATTTTTTCCACTAATTTTATTACGATCATCGTTAAATGGTATTGATCTGCTGGTACCTTATAATTGACTTTATTCTTTATTAACTTTGATTAAATTTGATATAAGCTTCTAAACTAAGTCATCAATCATGATCTCTTCAACCTGTGACTCACCTCTGAGACAAATAAGCCAAAAATCAAGGATAAGATCTTTTGCTGGTGGACAGGTCCGTTACTGGAGAAAAATCTGAAGATTATGCGCATGCTCAGGTCTAAAGAAATGGAACGAGACTATGAAGTTGAATTTCCAGACAACCGAGGAACTTCTTCTTCCAGATTAGGAGGAACTACCTCACTCGAGTTTGGATTCTGCCCAAGTCTTTATTACCCTTCTTAGTGGTCAGCTGCCTGGTCAAGTGAGGATTACGGTAGCGGCTATAAACTTAGAACATGGCGGCTGTGCGCTTAATCCCCGGCACAGTGGCCATCAAAGGCACTACGCGCGCCGCACAAGGCGAAACAACAACAACACGCACGACACTTGACCAGGCGACCAGTTGCCGACACGGTAGTGGAACTTTTGTGTAAATACACACACACACTGCTAATTGTTGTGTCATACGGTAACGATGCAACAAAGCAATACTGTGCTACTGTGTCTTTTGTGACGCAATTTATAAAGTGACAATGGAACAAGATTGAGCAAACTATAGTACAAAGGTAAAGGCAATAAGTTTGTTTACTATCCTTTAACTCAGCTACTAATCACATTTTGATTAAAGCACCAGTAAGAAGAGGAAACGGTAATGGCAAAGAGAAACAAATTATCAAATCAAAGCGCACGATATACTCCTATTGTATACGCTATTAGGATGGATTTGGCTAGGCTTGTTTAAATTCAAAATAAATTATTATTTCATTTTGCTTCAACGTAGGAGTTCAGATAATCAGATGATGGCCGTATTTTTCTGGAAATCGCATCATGAGAGCCAAAAAAGCATTTCGTTAGGCTCATAAAATAGATTATTTATGCTATGGCAGCTTCAGGACCTTCCAGCGTTATTTGCTACAATTTTGGAACAAAATTTTAGAGTCGCAGCAATATTTTACATGACATAGTTTACCGTTTTTATGATGCATAACATGGCGTCCACTCAGTTCTTATTTTTTGATTACTAACATAAAACAGTAGTTGGGTCATCAAAAAAGTTTGCTTCAAACTTTTTCTTTCACATGACTCGAAAATGAACTTAGTCATTTTCATCGCTTTTTGCTGGTGCCTCAAACAACGCTTTTTCGAAAATTTGTTGCGATACTTCCATACTTGCAAACAGCATAAGTTCACATATATCGTTATAAGTTCAATAAACAAACTGCAAAGCTTATTTCTATCACAACATCACGAAAAGCCAAAAAGAACTTTTAATTTTTATTTTCTTTTGGAGACACTTTCATCTGATTATCATCATCTCTTATCTTGCTTCCGTATATTATTAGCTTATGCGAACAGCAGAAAAAATCCAAGAGCCTTCTCTGTTTTTGGGCTGATTTTATCCTTAGCTATATCCATCACGATATTTGCGCCCTAACGAATCGGTCCTACTGCTTATAACACAGAAAACGTCTGTGCAAATAAGTGCTTGCAGCTGTGCACAGATTCATGATTCTCAAACAAAAGCGTGCCGAAACGCATCGAGAGGAAAAAAGCACAAAAATCGCCATGCGTGATGGGTATACCGAAAAGCAATTGGAAGTACATAATTGGGTAAAAAAGAAAGAAAAGAGATGCTTCAAAAAAATCTGAATATTATGCAACAACCTATCGCTCACAGAAAAAATCAACATTTAGAGCTGTTTTAAAGTTCTTGATAGTTTTGGAATACTAATTCCACATAAACTGTTTATCCGTGCTTTTATTCACACAACAAGGATTTCTATAAATTTCGTAACCGCATCCCTTCCTGCTTTCGCGCCGCCACGACAAAATTAACCGCCTTACGGTATTTTTCTACATCGCAGTGAATGCGGTAAAAACGACCATTTCGCCGACAGTCAGCGAGCTTTACGACCAAGGACGAGTTGCTCTTACTTACTTCCGAATAACCTTGTGCACAGCAAGTGGTAACCTCCATTATGCCGTCGCGCGTTGAGAGACTCGGCTTGGCGTGAGACGATCAAGGTTTCAACGGCCAATCATTTGATTTTGGACTTTTAGCTAGTGCTGAGGACTTTAATTTAAAAAAAGGTAAAGCAGGTTTTTAAGGATAAAAGCATTCTGTCAAGTAAGAAAGAAAAAAGTTCCAAAGATAGTATGAGAGAAATCGGAAAATAATGTAAGTTTGAAAATGCAAAATCTCTCTTTATTTGCTTCAGAACTTTGGCATGAGACATAGAAAACTGCAGGAAGCTTCAAAACTTCAAACTGAAGATCAGGAGCTGTGAAAATCATAATAAATCCTAGTTGTTCATAGTAGAACTGCTAAAATTACGAAAAATTCCAAGTTCAAGTAATCGTAATCGAAAAAGGGGAAAAAAGCTGCCGCATTGAGGAAAAATCGGATCCATTAAAATACAAATTTCCACGTCAATGAAATTAGCGTTTTTCATACATTTTGGAAGTTTGCCAAAATTGATAAGTAGCTTTGCTGCTTGCCATAAAAACACAGCAATTATGTTTGCAAAATTGCCTTCATTTCCATGAAATCGTAATTTTAATTTTTGCATAGTTTTCCTCAAATGCCCTTGAAAATGTATTTTTCACATAATTGTTTTTAGTACAATTGCAAAGAAATTACCATTTTTGCTTACCAGCCTTTAGTCTGACTTTATCAAAACTACATTTTTGGTACTTGCAATCACGGCACTGCTATGAAGTGGAAAAAGCAGAATCAGCCTTATTCTTCCCTAAATTCCCTAACTTTCGTAAAAGATCAATAAGCGGCCGATTTTTTGCAAGCCCCCTCTCACCTGAGCGCTGAGTTGCAGCTTTACACACCACCCATGCATCGTCATCAATCAATTGTTTTGTCAACTTCAAGTGACATTTCGAAAATGACGCTGTCAATGCATCAGGCGGAGATTGTGACACGAGCAATGAACTATTTTTTTTATCAAGTTTCCCATGATGGAGATTAATAGCCGTATGTTGCCAAAAAAAACTGAATTTCGTTGCTTGACATTGTTTCGCCCAGGCTTGACAGAACGGTCTAGGAAGATGTTCTGGTTGGTATGTTGGTGTGGCGCTTAGTAGTAGCCTTTTCTATATTTTCTATCAAGTATATGGTGGGTGTAGGCTTACATGCCTGAAAATCAGGTTCGAAATTATTCTACCCCTACTTTTCATAGCCGATAAAAACGTTCAAAACATGTGTTCAAGGTGATGGAAAGCCATGATCAAGAAAGTTAGTGTTGTAAACAGTAATAAAAAAATGAACAACAAAGGTAATCAGAAAAAGGATAAGAAAAAGTTTTCCGCATGAGAAATAGGGGCATAACATAGAAAAAATAACCATAATAGCCTCTCAGATCTGAACTTCTAGTATGTACACAAACTTGAACAGATCTTGAATTTTTTTGCAATCATTACCTCAAAATATACGAATTTTGCAATGCTCGCTAGAATATTATTTCCAGCGAGAAAATGTGTGCAAACTGCATTCTACCAAAAAAAAAATAAATAAAATAAAAATAGAATTGAGCTAAAAAAAATTTGACGGAGATTAGTAGTGAAAGCATCCAAGAAAAACCCATCATTTTTCTTTTAGAAACAGCAAAAAATGCAGCAGTTTTTTTCTATTATCCTCTCTCACTTTTTTACCTTCATTTCATAAAATAGTTATTTCAGACAAAAACATGCAGGGAAAAAAGGGCATCGAAGAGCAATGAATGTTCCTCTTTCAAATACAGTTTATCGTGGCTATAGTTGATGAAAGGCAAAAAACCTTCTTAATTTTATTAATTAATGTTGATTTTTCACATTCTAATCTACACAGAATTTTGCTGCTTTTTTTTTCTCAAAAATCGCATTGCTAGCCATGTCTATGACCTCAGGCTTAGCGCGTAAGCGCGGCAACCCCTCTCTTTTTGCGGAAAACGAGGCAATTTCGTGAATGAGGCGGATCGCGACCCTCTGTGGGCTGTATTGTGTCCAGCAACCATGGACAATTCATCACACGGTAGCCTAGCGAAGGCATGCGAATTAGCACGCGCTCAGAGCGACAGACAGATGTGGAAAGAGCAGCTGCGACCCCTGGCAAAAATGGTCCATCGGCTAGGAGGTGATGACAGAGAGCAGGGAGAATAGCTAATTGTAAAATGAGATGAAAAATCACGAAACAGAACGAGGAGGTGGGAGGGAAGAAGTGAATGAGTTTTGATGCATGGAATGAATGTAGTTAACGTCGCTTACCATACATCTTTCCCTCATCACTGATTATAATTTTCCGCCGTCCACATGGCGGGTAAATTGCTAGGGCTTCTTGGAATGCCTAGAATACTATAATTTACCACGATTTACCTACAACAATTATAACGAACCTGGTCGATATCCACGCTCCACACCCCTTCTGCATCACCGGCTGCAAGATCGGAGCCGGCACTGGAAGAAGACTGGGTAGGTTCTGGTTGAGTTCCAGCAGGATCACCAGCTGGAGGTGAGAGCTGAATAGCAGTCGTAGTATACTTCGAAAGGTGTAGTTATAATCTGTGTGAGAATTCTGAGATCTTACGGTAATCATCTGGCCACCGTTCAGTTGCGTGGCTCCTTGCCAAGCTTCTTTTTTGAACGTATCATAGGTGGGAGTGAGCCTGAAAAAATTATTTTCATGTAAAAATTCAACAAATAAACTGAATTGTTTCATATTACCCAGGATCATCTCTTAGAACCGTTACCAAAGGAGAATTCCTCTAAAGCATCCTTTATCTGGAAAGCGGGGGGGGGGGGGGGCGAGAAGGGTGAGGACTTCGCGATACAATCATGGAAACTCAGTGCAAAGTCTCATCTCAAGTTCTTAACTGCCCCCCCCCATTTAACAAATTTCTAATTTGAAGGATTTAGATATGTTAGCTTTGGTGCTCTAAAGTGGATCGGATTTGCCTCGTGTTGCGCAGATCCGACTTATGAAAAATTGCAATTTTCAGAACGCAAGTAACACATTCTGAACTATTATAAGATCATAAAACCCTTTTTTTTTTCTGAGAGAACACAATCGAAAACACCCTAAGAAAGTTTGAATAGCATAGTTCCATTTTACAGGTTAGGAAAATGTTCATGAGCTCATTATGAAGACAACAGTGGAAACTGTCGGAAATGTTTCATCTCACTGTTACCAATCCCAGCAAAATGGATGACCTGCTCACATAAATGGTATAACCTTCCATGACTTGTTAGAAAATCCTATTCTTTCATCGAACTGGATTTTCAAAAATACAACGAATTGTCCAGCTTTTTCATCCTCTACGTTTGTCATCAAAACTTGTTCTCTTTGATTCGTATTACTGTAACAAACTCGCCTATCATTCGGCTCGATCTTCGTCGTCGCTTGTTTGACCATGTCGGTCGATTCGTTCATCTAAAAAGCCTTGAATTATCTCGAATGTTTCGGAAACGCTTGCTGCTGGAGAGCCTAATCCCCGTCATGGTTTTTGAGATAGTATGCACCTGCAGCTCGTTCAGTAGCTCCAGCGTGTTTGATCAGCTGTCAACCCCTGCTCGATCGTCGCTTTTTTATTCTCGCACAGCCCTATACACCAGCGGGGCGGCTGCAGTGGTTTCTTAGGCAGTAGGGGGGCAGAGAGAGTCACCTCAGTAGTCACCTCCCAGAGGACATGCCATCCAACTCAAGATCTTTTTGCAGATTTGCGAGCTTGCGAGTGTATATCTGAGTGCGGATTTCGCCGACGGGCAAGAACGATATCTAAAATTGCAATCAGAACGGTTGCGAATCGCCGATGTGGGCAAAACATCCACGAACGAGAGAGAAGAAATGACGGAGACGTAGCGTTTGCGATTCGACGAGGGAGAGAGCGAGGAGATTCGGGAGACCGCAGATGGCGTTATCAGATGGCGTCCTGATAAGGCCTTGACGTGCAGGGCGTCGCCGCCACCGCCGCCGAAGTCGCCGCCGCCGCGACCACTGCCGACAGCTCGGCGCGAGCGACTTGCGGGGCTGGAGAGCCGCGCAAACACCGTTCCAACTTCGCGCAGAAAGTGTCCTTCTCGAAAAAAGCGTGACTCGGAGGAAAATGATGGTCGAGCGCTCAGATTGGAGGAAAATCTCGGACTCTAGAGATTCAGAGCTTTTTGTATTCAAAAAAGGAACTATAGCAATCCAAGCAAATAATTCATGAGTTTAGTCCAAGTAGCGAAGGAACTGTTTCTGTAGAGGTACATAGAGGTATACAGCTAGATTTCTATATTATCAAAAGGAAAGTGCAACCCAAGTTTTGAGTCTCTGTTCCTGGTTTACTACAGCTTACCACAAAGTAAAGATTACGTCACAAGCGAAAAAAACACTAAAATCCAAAGTTTGTCAGAAAGTTACACGAACGTAATGATTCAGCTATCCTCAGTGGATTGAAAAAAATAAAAAGTAATTTGTAATTTGGATGCGGTTAAACAGCACAGAGTTATAATGATATCTGTGAATAGAAAAGATTAGGAAGATCAGAACAATGGAAAGCATAATATCCGCTTTAACACACACCAGCTGCCCTCTCACTGAATATCTTTTGAAATTTTATGAAGTGAAGAGGGCCGGCGTTTATAAAATTTCAAAAACAAACTTCATTTTGGAAAAATCTGCATTTCAAGTCCGAATTTTTGTTGTAAGAGAGCAAGGAATACTCAGAATAATGGCGGAAAACTACGATCCATTCTAAACATCTCTATCCCCATCGCTACTTTCTAAACATGAAAATTTTCATGTCCGTGAATTGCACACACCCCATAGGCCTAAAAGTTTGAAAATCCTGGCACAGCGCCAATGTTTTCTAGCTTAACGTAGCACGCTTCCTTTTTACAAGCTCTTAACGACGCTTGAAGTTCCGATCGCATCGCGATGACGTCATCGTCGAGCTGTATTGATTGATCGCTGCGGCAAAGACACGGGTTTGTTAATCGCGCAGGTGGCAGATCTTACGTATGGGGGAGGTAGAGTGTAGGTTAAACCAATATACCAGAAGTCAGCCATAACCCCCTCCTTCTAGCTGGACTGGATGAGGTTCTATTTGTCTATTGATGTATATTTTGCAGCAATGTTTTGTAGAACATCGAGCGATATATCGATTAGCGAGTGAAAAGAAGGTTAAATGAGCTATTTTCAGTGCAGAAGTTCTGATTAAAAGTGGAAAAGAGCGCTTCAATCCTTGATAAAGAGGATTTTCGACACATAAAAGAAACTAAGACGATAGAGCGGTCACACACAGACACACCGGGAACGACGCAATATCGGGGGCCGAGGGACACACCTGCCTGTCTCTAACTTTCGACCCTTCACTTGAGCAGTTTCCCCTGATGTTGACACACAGACACACCACGCTCGCCCGAACACAACGGTGCTCAGGGCCGTGGTACACTCAAGTGCTGTGTCTCTGTGTGTGGAAGCTTCGTTGCGGCTTCCGAAGATGAGCATTTTGCACTCCGGGTCATGCTGTGTGTCAGTTGTCCAGCTAATAATGTGTTAGTTGTCCGCGCAAGCCTTTGAGTCTAGAACTTGGAACCTTGCGATACTGGTGACAGTCAACGAACGCCAGAAAACACGCAATTTGTCCTTGTCCTCGATTCGTCACCGTACCTGATGTGCCCAGAACCTAATCGCTCCGTTGCCGTATTTGCAGTGTAGAAAAATCACCAGACGCAAAATCACAGCACTCTATGGGATCCACGCTCTGATGATCTTCATAGGTCAAAATTTCCGCTATGTTACGGACATCTACATCTCTACATTGCGTTTATGTGTGCTGACGCTGAGTGTAAGTGCAGAACCGGTTCGTAATTCGACGTCCGTCCGTATTGTTTTCTGGTGCCGCTGTACACTCTCTAACAGCAATGACGAAGCAAAAAGGTGAACTTGCTGCAAAGTCGACACCAAGCGATGACTCTGCACACAACGAAAAGTGAACGAAGGGGAAGCCAAATTATCACGAGGTTAGGTAGAAACACGGGGGAGGGGGGGGGGATAAGGGAGAGAGAAGGATTGGAAGCTTATTTGATCTGTGGGCACCTATTCATGTAACTGGACATTCGCAACTGTGACTGTGAATAGAAAAGGTTTATGTATTAGCGGACCAGCTGCGGACTAAATTCTACAAAAAATCAAAAAAAAATAGAGAAAAAGTGACAAACCTGTGAATGATGTCAACAGAAACCCTTTGTTATAACAGCTAAAATTCTAATTTTTAATTTTTCATAGAATTTTCAGTGTCCGTGCCAACTAATAACTAGTTAGAAATCAAAGTCTTCAGAAAACATCTGACTAATTTTTTTCGAGAACTTCAAAAAACATCTGATTAAAATTTTGAGTCATTTTAACAAGTTAGATGACATTAAGTCATTAGTTTTGAATACTTACTTTATATATGCTAAAAAGCGTTACATTTGACATTGTGTTTTCTTTGTATTCATTGGCTATTATAACTCATTATTGTAAATTTTTTTTTGTAAAAAAATCCCATTTGAGTCAATTAATTATAAGATTGCATTTTTTACCCCTTCAAAAATTTTCTAGGGCAGAATTTTTTATGATCATATATTCTGCCCATGCAAATAAGAATTATTTCGAAGTGAATTTTACAATAAAAAAATTTTAACGAGGAAAAAAGGAGCTGAACTATGTGAGCAGCTATATGAGAAATTATGAGCATATAGTTGATGACTGGGATACGGTGATGCCAAAAGGCCCTAACAAAATGATTATAAGGTACCAAAGCGCAAGTTTACAATAGCCCCCTAGGCTCGACAGCATAACAACAAATGAATAAGCGTTCAATGGTCAGCACATACTAAAGAGGCAGTTTTACAACACACAACAAGTACAGCAAGTAGAGTATACTGGCAGTAAAAATGTGCAACCGCGACTGAGTGTGCGGTGCAATTCAGACTTGCAGACAAGCATGATAAGTGCGCACAATTACAGGAGGAAAGTACGGGCAGATCGGGTTTGGAAGAAAATCGAGTGGAGCAGTTGGGAAGCAAAAATAGCGAGGATGATTAAAAAAAAATAACGGTACAGAGAAAGAGAAGGAAAACATGGAGCAAAGATGATTGAGTGTCAGAGTGATGTAGGTGCGAAGAAAAATTATTAAGTAGAAAGCCTCTTCCGAAAAAATCAAAGAAAGCACTCCCAAAAATCGGTTTAGAAATTTATTATCAAAGAAGTGAAAATCAGCCAACTTGATATAATTTTTTCGGAGCTTCACCGTTTGACAAATAAAAAAGCAAAGTTTTTTCATCACCTTTCAAGGATTTTTCAAAAAGTAAAATTACTCTTAAATTTGTTTCAAAAAACTTTTTTTTCCAGGAAATGAAAGCCATTCGTGCTAAAGAAAATTGAAATGTCGCCGTTAAAAATAAAACCACACGAGCATTCTTACAGCATCATATCATCTTCAAGATAAGCCCAGAAATAGGGATTTTTTGGAAAATCCTCGAAAATGTGAACTTGGAGCTTCCTTGGGAACTACTGATGAGGGGCACCAAGGAAGCTGCACTACTGGTATAGTTCTTAGTCCCGAAACCGGATAGTGTTAAAAGATGCAAAAATTGTCGTGAAATTTTGTACCTTGGCAATTACATTCTAATTCTCAATTCTAACTTCACGTTTGTTTCATTTAGAAAATCTATAGGAGGATGGAGGACTTTTTCAAATTATTCAAAAAGTAGCGCTTACTGAAAATGGCAAGAAACGAGAAAAGTTGACGATCTTGATCTCTGCAAATTATTTTAAGCAAAGAAAGATGGCTTCAAACGAAAATTTACAATAAGATAAGCAGGCAACCAGCTTTACAAGTAATTTTTGGACATGTAGAAAAAATAGACATCAATTTCTTATAAAGTACAATGAAATCAAGAAATGGCTGATTCACATATTGATTGCCCCTGTATCACAACGACGAACAAAACTCCTCACGTCTTTGTCGAAAAGAACGGAAAGTTTTCGCGCGCGAGCGCACGCACGCACTTTTCCGCCGCCGCTGCCATCTTGTCTTTCTCTCTTGCGCGCGCTGCAACAACTGTTACACAGCCGACAACCAAGCGAGCGCCGAGCAGCGCACGTTGATCAAAACATTGCGACGTCTTCGCTTTTTGCGTCTCGTCTTCCAACTTTTCTTCCGACCGGAACGTGTGGGAGGACGAGCGTGTGTGGCCGCCGCCGCGCCGCAACGCCGGCGCTGCCGCCAGCCAACCTGGTGACAGCGCGCCTCCAAAACGTGAGCGCGACAATTTTGTAGCGACGACGGCGGAAGTCGGCTCAACTCGCTGGTTTGGTTCCGTATTAGGTACAAACGCACAGTACATCTACACATGCAATGCATTAGCACTCAATGTCTTCCACATCTCCAAATTAGAACCGGTTTTCTCAATCAAAAAGTGCAAGACGCCAAGGCGACACGGCACTGGATGCGCGCTGCTCCCTTGCTTGGCTTACGCTTATTAAGAACATCTAAGATGTGCACGTGCGTTAGGCAAGATTGACCGTAAAAGGAAGAACTTGCTCAAATCGCGGATGCTGTCTACACTAGGGGTATCTTTTATTGGTATGTGTTGGCCTAAAATTTCTTTGCTGCATCTCAAGATAATGAAAATATGGAAGTTCCTGTAAAAATGGGCAATGGAGATTTTCCCTCTAAACCTATATTTTACTTAAAATTGATTCTATTTTTCTTTAAGCTGCACAGGTTCTTAGCTTTATATGGAAAATAAAGTTATGCGTAAGGTGTAAGCACGACAAAACAATACGCTATGATAAAATTTCCCTTTTATTGTAATAACCAGGTTTCTTCGGTGCATCAATGAATGCATTCAATAAATAAATAAGCACCAAATAAAATACGCAATGCGCATAATTCACTAACCAGTTCTCATTGTCTTATAGAGCTATTACAGTTTCCAGCAAAAAAATACCCAATAAATTTTTCAGCAGATTTATGCAAACTAGCAAATCATATCCAGCCTGTTGCGCATGCGCTTATTGTGAAAAATCGCAAATAAAAAATTGATACAACCTTTATCTCACCAGCCGATTTTTTCGGCTGAATAATTTTTTTTGTTCCAAGAACTAGACTATATGATAAACTTCCGAAAAATTTTATACTAAGGAGATGGAAGAGGGGAATCAAAAATCGGAAGTTCCCGAATGGTAGGAGGAAGGAAGGTATAAATACGATGTAAATGCAAAAATACCAAATGATTCATTGAGCATGATATAACGTTCATGTTAAAAGCATCCTGCACTATTTTAAGAGAAGATGGCAGAACATCTGCAAGATTATGTACATAAACTCTGCATATTTATTCTTTTCTGCACTTCAACACAGAAATCGTTCGGAATAAAAGATTCGCGCAATGATATTATTTTGATATGTTCTGTAGTGTGTTGCCCTGGAGTGTAAAATTGTTTGGTAAAAAATTGATAATAACACAGTTTGTGAATCATGCCCCATTTGAGCAAAACGCAAAGTACTACGATAGTTCCAGTTTTGTGCTGGAGTGAAAAAAAGAAGTACAAAACTGTCAAGCGATAGGAAGAAGGAGGATTTTGTGATGATGAAGGTGCCGAGATAATAGCTCAAAATATCTCGCGTTAAAAACTAGGTTTTATTGTAGAGATGAGTCAAAGGATAAAGAATGCGAATTTCGGATTTAGGAAAATAACCTGTGGATGATGATAAAGGCACTGTGTTTATAAAAAAACAAGTTTTACATGAAAAAGGTAAAATGAGATATGGGGGAAAGAGTATAGTTTGAAGGAATATGAAGAGAATTGAGAGTTAAATTTTGAGTGCAGAAGTAGCAAGAGAGGCCGTGGAATTATGTACGTTAGACAAACATTTCGAGATTTTTTTGACTGGGTAAAAAATGTGAAAAAAAAACGTTTTTTGCTTTCATCTAGCTAGTAGAGTCTTCAAAAACTGTTTTATAGCTCAACCAAAATCAATTCTCCATTTTGCACAATTTGAAGTTCTACAAACACGACTACAAACTACTAAAATGGTAAAATGAGATATGGGCGAAAGAGTATAGTTTGAAGGAATAGATAAATTGTATTCAAAATTTTGAGGAAAAAACTATTTCGCAAAAATAGGCACCATATTTTCATATTTGACTATTTGGCGCCCTAGGCATTAGCGAATCCGCCTAGATGGACTACGTACGATGTGTAGTGGAGAACTCGTCCCCAATATCCCAAGCCGATCCTATTCGCTATTCCAGCTTCTGCAATCTGATCAACGGCAGCAGCAGCATCATCGGAAACCATTTCGCTAACGCTTCCCCCCGAAGTCGCAAAGAACTGGACGTCGTTCGCGTTTTTGTGCGCAGTCAGCATACAGGACACATCTTCGCAGCCGCTCGCGCGCGCATGGTAAAAGTGAAGCAGTAGAGACGCAGTAAAGCACAACAAAGCAGCTGCAAAGCGAGGACCCTATGTCAAGAAGTACAACGGGGGGGGGGGAGTTAGTATCATGTGTGCGGATGGGGACAGGGCCTCAGATAAGAGGGCTGCGGTGTGTTCCACTGTTCTAACAACAGCTGACTGATGGGGTATATCATATTGCGGACAACTCATCGAAAACATGACGACAGAAGCGTGTGTGTGGATCAGATATTATCAGTACAATCATCTAACGTAACGATGCTATGAGTAGGACATACGTGACGCAAATTCACAGAAAAAATATACTCTAGGTGATAAAGGTAGTTAGAGAGGCCATAGAATCGCGATTGTCGCGTCAGGCAGACATTTTTTCATTATATAGTCAAAAAACAATGAAAAAATTTTTTTTCACTAATTCTGCTTCAAAAAATGCTTTGTAACCCAATCGGCGTGAAGTCTAAATCATGCATAGGTTTTTGGTTCCGCTCCAGCAAAATACGGTAGCTCCAATCAATACCCAGCTGAGGTCCAATTTGCTCTAATCAATCACCCGATCCTATATTTACAACCATTTTTCGGTCAGCAAAATAAATGATGAACAACTGCATGATCCGAGTCTATGTTCAGTGTACGGTACCGATGAATAGGTTTACCTTGATGTGGACTAGTTTTCTCTCGCAGTTAAGTCATTCCAACGGTTGTTTTTTCACTAGTTTCGCTCGTCAATTACATGGCGTGGAGAGTTTGATTGCGGGAAAACTTTTGACAATGAACTTTCCAACCTTTGAATGACCATTGCGAGTGAATGAACATCGGATACGATGTTAGTTTGTGTTCTGCCAGCCGCGCGCGCAGTCACATCCGAGGGCGGAAGTACTGTAATCAATTACTGTAGCGCTATTATTGACAGACGCAAGAGATAAGGCGTGCTGTCGCCGTGCGCCGCGTCATTGCCAATCTCGTTCTGATCAAGTAATGGAGAAAGAAGTAACAATAGATGTTATGGCGCAAAGTCAACTAGCGAGCAACGGCGGGCCTTTGTTCTCCGCGCAGCGGCCGGCGGAGCAGCGCGGCGACCGTGGCGTTACCGTACACCTACCGTCTTTGGGCAAGTTGTCATGTAAAAACCTGTTCAGAAAAGCTTTGAAAAGCTAAAAAAAACTACGCACTTTCAATATGGAAATACTTTTCCTATGACTTTGCGCTGCTGATACAACCAGAAGAGTTTCTCTAGATAATGTCTGTCTTTTTATCACCTTCACCCTCTGCCATCCCCTTAACTACACAAATAGCTGGCTGACAGCCGTGCTTGACTCGTCTGATTGGCAACACACAAATGCACCTCTGAACAATAGCGCTGCGTGTTTCGAACTGATAACGCGGCGTCCGAAAACAAGTGACTAAGAGCCGAGAAAGAGCGATACGCAGCCGCAAAGAAGCGGCTGCAGATAGCATTCAGAACGAAGAGATTCACATTCTCCACAAGGCGAACGCACAACGCTCGGACGGATGCAACGAGTAAGAGAAGACATCGGCGCCGCTGAGATAAGGAGTTGGTGACCTTCAAGCGCACAACACCGCTCTCTCTCTCCATTCGCTCACCCCGTACAAGGAGCGCGGCGGGGTTGGCTGGAGACGGGGGCGAGAGCGGGCGAACCCCGGAGACGCAGCACGAGGTCTTCGACGGTCACACACACCACTCACACACATACACACAACAGCAGCGCTTTTGTGCTATGGCGCGCAGCCCGCCGCTCTCCGGACGAGCAGATGGTTTTCCAGCGAATTACTCGACGACCCGTAACCCTCGTCGTTGTCGCCCCATAATTGACGTCTATCGATTAAGTTTACGAGCAAAAATCTCGAAATCGCTGATCGATGATCGATCGATGTTGAGAGGAATCGAAGAGAAAAGTGGCCAGCGATTGATTGCAATGATTTTCGACGACGACAATCAAGATGTCGAAACTCGTTTAATGCGAGCGCATTCACAGAGAGATGAAAGACAAGCGAAACCAGAGGGCTCATTTGAGGATCTAGCACCAGGAAGCATAAAAATCATCCTTGATTTGTAGTGTTTTTTTTTTAGAAAAAGAATTTTCAGAAAAACCAAACTTTGAATTCTTGTTTATTCCACCCTCTTAAAAAGTATTAGAGAAAAAACAATAAAATGCATTACCCTTACAACGTTCTTAATTCACTCACAAAAGTTGGCATGAAAAATTTGGCTGAAATTATAGGGAGATAAAGATGAAGTGCAAAATCCAAGGATTTACTTTCTTTCCAAATGGCAAGGCGGGAAAAAAAGAAGAAAGTTGCAGCTAAGAATAAAAAGAGTTTAGCATTTTTTGCGGTCCCAAAACCCGAACAATGATCCAGAAAAAGCATACAGAAAGATATATACCCAAAAAGTATGAGGACTAGTAGAAACCATGAAAGTTGAGAAAATATGAAAAGTAATGGGAAGGCCTCAAACATGGAAAATTATTTATCAGACCAGTTTCTGTATCTGCTTACGAAAAGCCCGAGCCTATCAAAGCCAGCTCTTCACTTCATCAGCCACAAACATCTCATGAACCGTACCTTTGTTCGCGGGGCGCTCAATGGTCAGCGCAAACTTTCTCTCTTTCGGCGAGTTTCGTGTGTATGTTTGCGTTGAGTGCGAGTTCTCGTCGCTTAGTTGCTGCGTCCGGAAGAACTCGCCGTAAGTCGTGCCGAACACAAGCTCCTCCCACTGTTCAGTGTCGTGGCCAGAGGACCCGTGTGCGATAGCGGGGGGATGTGTGCGGGTGCGGGGCGGTCGGTCGGTCGGGTCGAGTTGGCGGTGTGAAAACCGAGGCGAAAACGTGAAGCAACCGCGAGGAATGCGTGGAATGGCGGCAAAGAATTTCTGTAACGCGCGCTACATTCAACCGTGTGGGCGTGGCCGAAAACGAGCGGCAGGTGAATAGCGCGCCGGCCGCGGAGACGCAGACAAGGGGCGTGGGAACGCGCGGTGTGTGGTGGACACGGCCGCCGCCGGCGGATGGCGGTGGTCGCCAGGCGCCGCGCCCCCGACCCCGACGATTCCTGGACAAACCGCCTGGAAACGTTCGCGACAGCTCTCCATTCCCCCTACCATCCTTGTTCTGTAGTTAACCTGCTCTAGTCAGAATTTTCGACAAGTTCTACATATTCTTTATTCGACAGAGGCTTTTTTTCTGAATGAATTATTCGCCAGACCTTTCGTGCGAATTTTTGCTTGACTTTCTCCTTGATCGAGCGAAACTCTCGATAGTGTCTTTTATAACGAAGTTTTCAACATTTTCATATCCTAACGATTTTGTTGCATTAGCTTTCAAACACCATATTTTCCGACGAATATTTTTTTGAAGAAAAGATTTTTGTGTAGGAGTAGTGATAAAGCAACTTCTACATACATGAGAAAAATTTTTCTACATCGTAATTTTTGAAACCTTTTTTCAACGTCTCAAGGAGTGTGTTAATATTTCTAGCACACATATCATTGAAGATTTGAGCTTTGTGAATTTTTCTCCAAATTTTGCAAAGTTCACCTCTCAAATTCGAAAACTGCCGATCCCTCAGTTTGTAAATGCTTCATCAAATATTCTCCATTCTCGTCAAAAGTTTTTCAATAAATTCTTTGCTAGCTAATTGCGATCTGTACCCAATTGTATCATCAACTCGTCTAATTATAATCAGGAATAACAATGGTTTCTTTTTAAATTAGAGATTAATAACTATTTGCATCAAAGCTGCCCTGATAGCTTCGCTAAACTCGTAATCTTTGCTGCTACTTTTTTTTCGGAGATACTACCGCTGCGAAATGACATTTTTTCATTCAGTGCTCTGGCCTCGGAAGTTCCGGCAGACTTACCGCTTTTTTCTCTTTTTGAGGGGATTTTTGTTCACTGTGAGACTTTTGGATTATTTTTGTAGATTTTTTAGAATTTGTTTGAGTGGTAAAAAATCATTTTAACACAACAGCTGCGTCCCCCCCTCCCCCCCCCCCCCCCCCACTTCCACAACAAAAGGCTCTTTCCTCCTGAGTCGAGAGCATTGAACTATTTTTGCGCCAGGCATCGTCCGATAACTCGTGACTCCCTTATTTTATTCAGTGAGAGTGTAAATATCTGATTAGATAAATGAATGGTGAGGGAAGATTTAGACACTCCGAGAACTTGTCCTGTACCGACATTTAACAGTCTAATAACTGCTAAATAATAGAAAAAATTGTGTTTTTAGGTGTTACCGTAGCAGCTAATTGAATCAGGACAAGCATCAGAAAAGCAGAAGATTAATTGCCTAAGTTCATCAGTTCTGTGCATTTCGCAGTGTCATTTACATACACTGTTATGTGCAAGTTCAGTACTTCTTCGCGCAGTTTCAATGAGAACAAATCGGGTACATAGTAAGTATTCTAGTAAATCAGGCAGAGAGGAAAATTTTGCTTTTCTATATTGGCCGCATTCCACTTGGAAAAAAACGAGGTCACAAAATGTGCAGATAAATGTGAGAACCTGTAGTATTGTTATGGTGTCTTTCCCCATGATCAGAAATATTTTTGTATTTTGCTCCAATCTTGCAATTAATCTAACATTACAGCTTACTCAAACTAATCTGAAACTTAAAAAAAGTATTAAATTGCTTGTAGCTTCTCATATTCTCTTCTTTCAAATGTTCATATCAGAATTTCACAAACATTAGGGTAGTCAATGATGTAATCCATAACGGCTAATTAGAAGCGTACTCAAGTTCAAAAATCAAAGAGAATTCAGGTCAACCAAACCGTGGTGATAGTCTAGTTTGACAGATAATTTGGAGTCAGTGCGAAAAAAATTCACGGTAAATCACGCACTGCAAACAGCAAATTGGTGCAATTTTTTGACAAAAAGGTAAACGGCTGAACACTTCGAATAGTGCAGTGTTCGGAAAATCAATCACTTCAAAATGCTCAACTTCAAAAAATGTTCCTAATTAATATGTCAATTTTTGCTAAATTGCTTCATCAGTGGCCGTATTCATCAACGAAAACCCAGTGGGTTCCGGAACCCAGTTTAGTGCTTTTGATGAATATCGATGTAGAATCGATATTCATCAAAACCACTAAATGGGTTTCGGAACCCACTGGGTTGTTCGTTGATGAATACGGCCACAGAACGTTTATTTTTCGTTCCATACAAGGGCAAATGCATCCATCAAACTTTCTTTTCAGGTCCTCATTGCATGATCTGACATAGCAATTATTCGTTGAAATATTTTGGATGGCTTCGCTAAATGTGAGCGTCTGAAGGGGAACACAGTGAGGTCAGGATGTTTGAGACATCGCACTGCGATAAGGCCGGTCACAACGCAAGGCTTTCCTGGATTATATTCCAACCTCCAAACTTTGTGCAGGAAGAATTTTTTTCGTAGTTCAATTTAAGCAGTTCAACGCTAAGAAACATTTCTGCTCAGCAACGATTTTTCTTTTGATGACGATGACATGTGAAAGTTCACTTCTACCCCGCAAAAACACTTCTCTTCCCGTTATCAGTCACTTTCACCCCAATAAAAGTCCTGATAAATCGGCAAAGGTTATCGCATAGGCCGAGGCAAAGAATTGCGCAAGAATTGATTAGAAAAGGAAAAAAGTGAATTTGCAAGGAAGTTGGTGCACACCGAAAATTTCGTGAAGAACTCGTGTTTCATAATGCCCGTGTCGACAAGCTGGGATGACTAATGGTTGCTAGGGTCAGGAAGCACACAAAGCCCCGTGCTGGTGGTGGCATCGGATGAAAGCCTCAGAATTTTTACAATTTTTTGAGGTCAAAAATTATTCAGGGGTTCTTCGCGTGCTTAACAAAAGTTTTAAACTCTAATCATTGTAGTCTTATCTCTGTGCGAAAGAGGAAGCCTGAAAGTGCAGTGAAACTGTGTAGTACGATTTGCATATCAAGTTGCCCATTTCGTACATAGCGCGCCTTACTGTAGTATTACGGTAGGCTTACTGTAGTCGGGGCAAAATAGATGAACTTCTTCTGGAAAGCACTTCAAACTTGTGATCATACGATTCCATTGAGTCGGGACAAATAAATGAACTCTTTCTGAAAACATTTCAAGTTTGTTGATTATACGATTTCAATGATATTATTTTCTAACTTGGTGACTTCGCTGTCTTACGATAGATGTATAGTACACCTACCGTAGCTATATATTGATTATGATCAGCAAGCCCTGAACAAGGTCTAGATGATTTTGACTTACCCACCCAGGACCTAGTTCTACTATGCAAATTGGTGCTAGCCTGTAAGTTGATTAGCCCATGATAAAAAAGCCAAACAATTTTCCTGAGTAAAGTTTTGTTGAAGTCCGCGAAAATATTAGGTTGGCCCGAAAGTTCTGTCGCACCAAATTCCAAAATTCATAACTTCTGATTTTTCCAACCGATTTGACTGCTTTTATTTTTATATGAAAGAGTAAATCATGCTCTTTATGATGACCTCTTAGTTGCTTGCTAATGTTCATCTGTCGCATAGATAGAAACGATAGAAGAAAATTAGCCAAAATTAGAATTTTCTGTGTAGGGTCATAAAAAATCAAAAGCTTGCAGTAAAAATCTGAGCAGTTGGCATTATAGGTTCTATTACCTGCTCTATCTAACTGTTCAAAGTTTGCGCTGATAGAGCGTCTCTATGAAAAATTACGATTTTTAAGCAAGCAATACAAAAGGGCGAATTTGATTTATTTTGGCATTTCAGGGAAATCATAACTTTTCATAGAGACGCTCAATCAGTGCAAACTATCAGTCAGAAAGAGCTGGTGAAAGAACCTATATTACTGATTGCTCCGATTTTTGTTGCAAATTTCTGATCTTTTATGACCCTACACAGAAAATTCAAATTTTGACTAATTTTCTTCTATCACCCTATATATGCAACGGATGATCATTAGTAAGCAGCTAAGACGTCATTATAAAAATCACGACTTACTCTTTCATACAAAAATAAAAACATTCAAATCGGTTGGAAAAATCAGAAGTTATGAATTTTTGAAAGTGGTGCGACAGAACTTTCAAGCCAACCAAAGATGACGACCAAATTTGTGGGCAAAAGTTACAGCTAGACTATATCTATTTATACTTTTTCGCATCCCAAATTGGTTTGATTCTGCTTGAGAACGAAAGAGTTGTGCATAATGTAGGTTAGTATAGTCATACGTACAACCGCCACTGATGCTCTCCTCGGTAACTCAGTTTTTCATTGAAAAAAAAACCCAAAATCTTTATTCAAAGTCCGTCTCAGATACATACCAGATAAAGGTCTTTATGGGGGTTAGTGCTTCACAAAGTTCTTTTTGTGGGTTCATGACCTCCGAAATCTAGAAAAAAAGGGGAGGGGGTGGCTGCCGCCCCGAAAAAAATTTTTTCTACAAGGGTAACTCGAATTTAGAAAATTTTGGGAATTATTTCAATTATTTACAAGTATGAACATGTCACTTGCACATTTTAAGCCATGTAAGTAAATTTCAAAAATCCCCCTCCCTCATTAGTATCAGGTTGGCACAAAAGTTCTGTCGTGTCATTTTCAAAAATTTGTAACTTTGCGCTGTTTCAACGGATTTGCTTGCCTGTAATTTCATCAGAAAGATTAAGTCTTTCGCTTTCAAACGCTTTTTTCTTTTTTGCGGAGCTTCTGTTTCATATTGAGTGCGGAGATAAAAATGGAAAACTAAGACCATATAAGATTTGACCATTTTAAGTTAAGTCGCCAAAAATCGGGAACGCTGCAGAAAAATCTGAAATCGTCAGTACTTATGTTTTTTGGCCTGCCCTTTGCAACTGTGAAAAGTTTGTGCTCTTTGGACGTCTCTGTGAGAAGTTATGAATATCAAGTTTACTACGGAAAACACCAAAATTAATTTGATTTGTCAATTTTCGCGAAAATCACAACTTCTCACAGAGACGTCCAAACAGCACAAACTCTTCACACTTGCAAAGAGTAGGCCAAAGAACATATGTGCTGACGATTTCAGATTTTTCTGCCGCGTTCTCGATTTTTGGCGATCTAACTTAAAATGATCAAAGCTTATATGGTCCTATTTTTCTATTTTTATCTCTGCATTCAGTGCAAAGCAGGGGCTAGGCAAAAGCATTTGAAAGAGAAAGACTTGTTCTTTCTAATAAAATTATAGCAAAGCAAATCCGTTGAGGCAGCGCAGATTTATGAATTTTCAAAAATGAACGACAGAACTTTCGGGCCAACCTAGTAATTTGATCATAATAAATTTTTGTGTAAGAAAACATTTCAAAGCTGAGAGGCTACTATAGAAGACCGGCGTCAGAGCACTCAGCCTGAGATTATGAGACACGTTTTCAGTAATACTTTTGTTCGCCTTCAAACATGTAATTTTGACATTTATTTATTCTTATCAATCTTTATTCAAGTACAGCTCATGTCAGGGATTTATAGCAGAGGATATTTTTTATGTCCCTCCTATTACGTACAACTCTCTTTTTTGGATTTATTAAAACTGCTAGACAACTGATGAGTTTCTAGCTCCAGAAGTCGCTTAACACTAAAAATTCCATCTTAGATACATAATAAATTATTCACTTACTTGTTTTAATAATAAATACATCAAGGAACTCGAGCCAAGACCCGTAGATTCCATTCTCGATTCACTAAAAATTGTAAATTTGACTGAATGACAAAGAAATTCTAATTTTAGCTCCTTTCCTCTTACATCAGTTAGATATAGTGTGCTATCGAACGAGTGCAGCGAGCTGTTTATCAGTCACTCAGGAGCAACTGTTCCACGACTGACGGTGCATGACGACCAGACGAGAATGATGGAAAACAGCGTCAGTAGTGAGAGAGCGAACGATGAAAATGTGTGTTAAATGAGAGCAGCAGTATTTTTAAAGGCTTGCACATGATTTGATTTGCATTATTTCAGATGATTAGCAGATTACGGTAGCTTTAATCTCGTGTTATTTTGAATACTAACGCAATAACGGCAGTGATAGGAGTAACAAGCTATCCATCTAGTTTACGTGCACTTTGAAAATGATCTTCCGTTTGCAAATTGTCGGCGGTTACTGTAGCTGATGCTGATGTTAAGTTTGAGAAAACTTTTTAGAAAACACAATTCGATTATCACAGATGTTTATTATCCTCTCATGCATTGTCGAGAGGATAATGAATAAATTAACGTTGTGCATTTGTATTCCTTCAAGTCATATGTAATACGACAAAATTAGGAGAGACTTCAATCTTAATGATGCAAAAGTTTTTGAGCATACATTACAAATTGCTTTATTGATGTTTGACAACACATTGAGAGTTTGAAATCAATGCGACAAAAAAGAACTTGATATTTGAAATCATAACCTGCAAATTAAAACAGTGCCACGTCTCGCAAACACTTTCGCATATTGAAACACTTTTGAAGGGTGCGGCTTGGGAAAATTGCAACTGCGTGCCTTCTGTTGACCAGCGCTGTGCTTGAAAAGTCAAAAAAGTGCTCTTTATGTCGTTCTCCGGCCTTGGAGATTGCTGGAGGCTGAAGCGGAAATTCCCGCATCCGAGTCGCGATTGGCTGCCTGGGCCAATCAGCCAATCGCCGCCAAAATGAGTGGTGCTACAGTCTTCTGCATCCAGTCACTATTTTGACGGGATTCTCCGCTCCAGCCTCCTCAGCAATCTCCAAGGCCGGAAAACACCATAAAAAGCATTTTTTAACTTTCCAAGTACAGCTCTGTCTAAACGCATCCAGAAGGCCAAGGAGGTACAGAAGGCGCGCAGTTGCATTTTTCCCGAGCCACTGCCTTAAGGCCTAAGGCATAATACCTCTAGCGATCCCGTCGTTATGATTTTCGATCGCTGCGATTAGACTGTCTGGGCGACCGTAGTGCGTAAAAATCGCTCATCGCTTGATTACGGATATGCCCAAAGCGATTTCGCAGACGCTCACACACCATAACGCGTTATACGCACTTTTGGAGAATTTGCTCTAGTCTGTCCGAAGTACATTTATTCAAGGAAATTCGAACAGAATGAGACGCCATATGCTTTCAGAGAACAGAGCATCAAACAAGAGGACATGGATTTACACTCATCCAGTAAGGTCGTGTTTCAGCCCTTCTGTGTAGGCATATTTTAACAACGAGTGCTGCGCAATTTCTTGCCTGCCAATCTGCGAACGATTATATAGGGGCTTGCATGATCGCGAGAGTCGGATGTGCGTACGGCCATTGCGGCGTGCACATCCGGTGTCACTGAGGAAGGTGCCTGACTTATAATGTTTGAGCAGTTCGTCCGGTTACTCATTCGCTATTGTTCGCACTGACCAATAGCCGAGGGGTGAACCGAATGAACCTGTTGAACAGGGTAGGTCTAGCCCCTACCTGAGTCTGGGACGGACATCGCACGTGCGCGGCGCAGTAGCCGTGCGCACGACTGGCCGTCCGACTCTCGCGATCATGCAGGCCTCTATATATGCCTGAGCAACGGAGATTGCACATTGCACACTATTCTGCTTAGAAATTATAGCGAGAACATTCGAGATTCGGTGACCATTTAGTTATTTTCAATAAACAAGAACAGGAGAAGATTAGGGCATTGCAACAGTAAATGCTAACACAGAGTGTGAGGTGACATATGGGAAGCATTCCATACCATATACTTCGCATGTGTTGTTTTTAAGGATTAATAGTAAATGCTCGATGGCCATCCTCTCATGCAGAGAAAAAGCGCTTTTGTGAAATGGAATAGCTCTAAATGAGGATCGCATTCGCAAAAAATACAGAACTTCTCACAAAGAGGAAGTCACTCGAGCGATTGGCCCATCGCTGGTGCAGAACTAGCGACGGCGATATCGCTATATGTGAGCGATGTCGTTGCGATATCTCTGCTGAGAGTATGCCCGCCCCAAAAAAACCAGCGATTCGTCGCAGCGTCAGTCTAACAAGCGCAACCACATTGGGCGAGTGTGCGCTGCGGACTAGGAACATATGTCCGATTGGGAATCGCGACGCGACGGTATCGCGAAAGGTATGTCTTAGGCCCAACACATCGA